AAAATCTGTCCGCCCCGAGGCAAGCGATTACAAAGATCCTTACCGTCGTCCTTCGGAGTTTCTTGGCTAATTTCAAGGATGGTGTCCCGGTGTCTAATGTTGGTGAGCACTGTACTTTGACCCATTTTGAGTTAAGTCCGCCTTATGCTCCGTATCTGTTTAATTAATAACGAGTAGCGAAAGTGGCCTTGTGATAGAAAATATTCGGGATGCGTTAAACTTGAGTAAATTTTCTTTTCTGTTTTCTGATCCTTCTCAATGTGTTGAACGTAACATTAACACAAATGACATATCCAAATTGCACGCATCGATTTTAACGTCATTTGTATGGGATATCACTGTTACCAGTTACGATCAAATAAAAATCGTGAAAAATGTAGTTTTTACGACTTTTGGACTAAAATCTATATGTATCAATATGTGTCGTTTGTTACAGTGTCGAAATGACAAACTGTCGCTTACTTTTGAGGGCTGTTATCACCCCTTGAACATGGTCGATTGCTGATAAAAGTATACATGTCAAATATTTCTTTGAAATCTGTCTCCCATGTAAAACTCATCAAAATCGAGATACAGGGGTGGGATATGTGCTCTCGTATAGTCGAATGTTTTCTTTAAAATCACATCTTGTCAATACAAATGAATTTTCAGATCATAATAATTAGAATATACCGATGAGTTTTGTTTCTTTCTCGAAGTTTATGCTGGGCATGTTACATAAACACTATTGAATGATGAAAAGCTTTAAGATTTTCTGAAAATCGTTACGAGCGGAACCATGACGGCGCGCTTCAGCAACCCTTTGAACGTCGAACAACGATATACATATAGTCTGGTTGTATGTAGGAAGCCAAAAATGCAGGGGTTTTATGGGTCGTTGAAAACAGCGTGCGATCGACGCCTCGGAAACACGAATAAAACTAAATGCGTATAAATCTTCACAGTGTAATACGTAAAAAGTTCAGCCGGATATCATAAATTCCTCTGCTCGTCAATGTATTGGATCGGAAGCAGAAACGAAGAGGGGTAAAAGAAACATTCATTCATGATATAGTACAAGCAATATAGAGTTAAACAATTTATGTACGTACGGTGTGGCGGCTCAAAAGTGCACTTTTTTTTTAAGAAAGATTCCGACACGGTAAGGGCGGTACTTTGCATCACGCGTTACAATTGCGCGAGTAATTTAAATTTTAAATTTCCCGCGGCGACGCACCGATGCAAATGCGAATTCATGTAAATTATGAAGAAAAGCGTCTCGCTCGAATTAATGCATTTACGACAAAGTAGAAACTCTGTCGCGCCGTCGTCCCTCTGCTCATTTTTTTCTTCCCTCCTGCTGTGATGTAAGGCGGTCGCATTTGTAACTCGCGCGACTTTACGTGCCAAGAAACGTTCACACATTCCGTGACGTAGATCAAAGGGATGTAAAAACAGATTCGAGTGAAAAGAGCGTAAAGAGGGAAAAATAAGAGACGTAACGTGTTATCAACGTTCTAATAGACGCCTAGATGTAATGACACTTGACTAACTTTAATAACTAGTTTGTAATTATAGTAAATTGCTAGCAGCCGCTGCGAAATATTTCAATGAACAAAGCAACTGTAGTGAACAAGAGCTTTTTTTTATCAACTTGAATCGAATACATTAATTTAAATCTATTGAGCGCCCTGACACCGTTGCGGTGGAGGAAGACTTGTCCGTCGGCTTGATTCTTTATTCACGAAAAAGAGACTTCAGCGCCGGCGAAGTACGCCGTGCCCGGAGAACACTTCGCTTAATAGGTTGCTGACTTGGCGATTGCTATTAGAGTACTATGTACCTGCGTAATTTAGTCGTACATAACGAGACTTCTTAGGACATTATATTACTACCTTATGAAGAGCCTAATCTTGATGAAATATCGATGAAAATAACTGTGCTTAATGGATTCTGTATAATTTTTGTACAGATTACTGCCTTAAGCCTCAATTTCTTCGTCGAACGGCGTCTGACGAGAGCGGTCGTACTCATAGAAGCTTCTCTTTTCCGTCAAAGAAACGGACCAGTAAAATTTCCACGGAAGCGGGTTACGCGCGTTAAATATTTATGAGAGCTTCCACTACCTCCGTGGCACTGTTTTTTCTCTTACCACTCCTCTATCTATCCTTTTTCTCTTGTAGTTTTCTCTTTTTTTTTCCTTGGTTGCTTAACCGTACACGACCGGCGAAAACTTTACAGCGACGTAGGTATTTGTCGGATAGCCGTCCGGCGCAGCATCCGGACCGACGGTCATTTGTTACAAAAATGGCCGAGCGCGTTATAACGGAGGAAGGACGCGGGAGTATGTCCTTTGCCAGTATTTTCCTGTCGACCCGAGTCCGGCAATTTTCCGAAAGTTCGAAAAACCGCGCTCCCGGCTCCGTTTCGTTGATTCTCCTACGATTTCCTGTCGGCCAGCGCCACGCCGGAAACTGTTACGAGGCGGTCCAAAGTTTCGCGACTACAAACGGTAGAATTATGTTCACCGTACGCGATGAAAATGCCGTCTTCCCTTTTTCTAGGACGAGAATCGGGTCTGGTGTCTCAGCATAATTCAAGCTGTTTTCTTTTTGCTAATTTTACTCTTGGCAAATTGTTTTTACATTACATTAGAATTTGAAGAGGTTTTAGATTTAAAAACAGTGCGTTTATAATGTTGCTGCTAGAATTAGTAGAATTTATACTATTCTTGCTGTCACGAAAGACCATACCTGTGAAGGATCAATCATGAGGATAACGACTGATCGTATGTAATTAATAATTAGTGGCTGCCCAGAAAATTGTTCGCTGCCATGGCAATAGCAATTAAATCCATCCATGGCGGCTGCACGGATTTTCCACAAAGCGGCTGGCCAAGCTATTGTCAATTTGCATATAATATGCCGTGCGTTATCGTAGAGGATAGGGCAAAAGGACCCGATTCAGTGGCCAATCGAATGCCGTAAATTGTATTTTAATCGAATACGGTTATTACTCAAAGGAAAAATGCGAGAAGTCTTTATTGGTGATTGTTTCCCCCCTGTATCATTTCTCGTACGCATATCGCTTAAAAGAAACTCGGCCAGTGAATTTTTCTCTTCGATTCTTTTTATCACGAGTCATACATAACGGTTCTCTTCCATATCAAAATCCATACAAAGGCTTTTTAATCCCCGCGTCGTCGTTGAGTCGTTCAACGCGAGAACGAAACGAAAGATTGCCTTCCTCTTTCATTCATTGTCCGCTGTTGCAAATAAAGAGAAAACATATATGTAGGAAAAGAAAAGCTAAACGTTCATCGTGTATGCGCGTTATATGTCTGAACGTTCTTTTGTTTTTCAACAACCGAGCAGATTTGAGATTTCCTGCTTTTCATCTTTAGTAAATCCGAGCTTTTAAATCTGAAGACGACTACGTTTTATATACGTCAGTGAATTTCTCACCGACAGGATCAAAACGCGGACAAATCTGTCGTAGGATCGGCTTGACGGTAATCAATAGAAATGGGAAGAAGAATATAGACAGGGAAAGGAAACAATATGCTGGCGGTCTTATTTTTTTCAAAGCTATGAAAAAGCATATGATGTATGGATATAATTGGTAATGAATGTACTATTCATGAAAAAACTTGAGGGAAAAGTAGAAAGGAAATAGATAAGTAGAAAAACTTTTATGGTTGTTGAATAAAAACAGGAAGCGACAAAAAGGAATTCTTTTACAATACCTTCTAATAAGTAACTGCAGTTTGTTAACGATGTACCCTAAACTATTACATTTTCTTTACATATTATTTATAACATGATGAATGATTTTTCACTAGAAATTCAAAAATTTCGACGTATTATAAATGAGTATAGATAATCAATGTGTCAAGAATAACTTTAATTTTATTTTTGTTCAATTTCCATTTACATAAAGTCAAGTGTAACTTCACGTAGATATTCCTAAGCTTCTTAAGGGACTAAACTCGAAACAATACCTAGCGAATGAAATGGAAAGAAGCATCTGACGTGAGAAAGTTTGATCGATTCCGAATACTCGTTCGACTTCGTTTTTATTTTTTACGAGTGTCAATTTAGCCGAAGTTTATGGCATCAAAAATTTCTATCTAGTCGTCGCACGAAAACGATATAGGTATGCAGATACTAGATACTGTCAGATACACCGTGCCATCGTGTCGCGTCGACGTCGTTTTCAATTGTAATATTCTTTATTACCTGAAAACTCACTAGATACGAAATCGATAAACTTGACGCTTCGTATAGCGCTTGACGAGGCAGCATTAAGGTCCTCGCGTTTCCATTACGTTCTTCATTAATTTCTTTCTCATCTTTTTCAGCGAGCAACATCCTTTCCTAACGAAAAAGGCAAAGGCAAGGGAACTACGCGGTGCACTAGCTACGAGTCGCAAGAAAAGACTTATTTTTCATAAGCGTCCGATGAGATGAAGTAATACCCATTATGTAAAATTTTTATAAAACGGAAACCTTCTGCAACTGTCTTATTGCATCAATCATACAGTCTTTCTTTCTCAATTTTATCGTATCAGTTGGACTTGGATTTTAGGTGGAATCTGAACCGTCACGATATTATGATTTTAATAAGCATGTGAAAGTTGCTTTTTAAAGGTGCCAGGTTTTCACGAGCAGGGTGCAAATCCGGAACCTCAAAATGCAGCTTCCATTTGTTCTGTACTTTGTTTATGGCATAGAATCTATCAGCTGTTAATAAGAACGATCTTATCAACAGACACCTACTGTTATCATCACCTGACTTTATCCACCGAGAGGAGATTACCACCCAGGATATTATCGTTTCGTCATCTTCCTTTCTGGCAGCTGAAAAATGATTATCAACTAATGGTACCTAGACAAAAATAGTTTATCAATAGCGGCTTCCTTGATAACACCGAGGACTGAAATATAGATGGCACGAAATGACTCCTCGATGCGCGTACCCATTTACTAAATTTTGAATTTTACTTCATGCAGCAAAGCATTCAACTTCACAATTACTACTGCTAATTCCATCAGTTCTCAAAATGTCAAAAAATAATTGTATTTTATTATTTTTGACTGTAGATCCGCAATAGACGTTTTAATATTTTAGCGTTTAAGGAAGGTAGCGTGTATATAAACTTTGAACCGTAGAGTAAGTTGTATTTACAATTAAAATATGGACGACGAGAAGATGAAGACACGAGGTTACTACTCTGAGATCGTAACCGGTAAATAATTAATAATTAAATTAATTAATGGCGTTCAGTCAAAATGTAATTTATTCCTCAATGCTCATTTGCTTAATTTGGTACAAACATTTCCTATACTTAGATAACTGCGAATATTGTGCAAGATAAAATATAGTGTCAGTTTAAAATGTGATCTAGGAATTTCTTTCACCACCTGAGCATTCGAATATGCAGCCCATTATTGATATTTTTTATATTTTTACACATTACATAAAGACAGAATTTTTTGCACATTTAATTTTTTTACAAAAGTGTAAAATCCGTAGTCTAATATCCGTAGTCTTATTTACGTTTTTGTTTCTTGCAAAGCTGTTTACTTATTTAATACTCCAATAATAGTGACTCGAGTTCATAATTGCGTAATGAACAGGGACACCGGAGCATCCGGTGAGGCCGGAAGTGGTTCTTCTAGGGACAGCACCAAGGCGAACGAAGCTCGCCTGGCAGGTTTCCACCGAGCATCACAGCGCGCGTGTCAGACAATTACAAGACCAAAGAACGTACAATTTCCTCGGCGAGGCTAAAAGATGGATAAGTTTCGGCGAGGATCGATCAATCGTAAGCAACAAAGAGTACAGCAGCATATACAGCTCTCTGGAAAAGATTGAAGAGTTTTCGAGAATCGATTATCGGTTACCGCTAAATTATTAAGTTGATTGAGAAGTTCCGATGCTCCACATTATTGTCTGCACATTCCCAATGTTCTCTGAAACTCTCCTTGAAGTAAAAAACCAAACTAATGCTCAGCTCATTGTTATAATCAATAATACAATTATAATTGTCGTATGTGGAATTCTATATTGCAATGGTAATAATTATATGTATGTTACTATTATAATCAATGTAAAATATAAGTATGATTACATGTATATTATAGTTACAATGTATGCAATATACAGGATGTTCCAGAAAAAGTGTTAGAGCCGAAGAGAAGTGATTCTGTAAGTATTTCTGAACAACAATTTCCTTCGCCAAAATGCAAAGTGAAACATGGTTTTCAAATTATTAAGGACAAACATTGATCAATAAGAGCGCGTGTAGGACTCGCGCTAATCCACGGCCGAGCGTCACGATTTGAGCCATCCTATCCGTGGCTGGGCGCGGGCCCTATTGGTCACTGTTTCTCGTTAATAATTCAAAAACCATGGCTCATTTTACCAAAGGAAATTGTTGTTCAGAAACACCTCCAGAATCACGCCTTTTTGGTTCTAACACTTTTCCTAGGACACTCTGTGTAATTGTGTTAAAAATATAAATAAGTCCCTCCGATGCGTATAAGAGCCATACACCGAAACTTACATATAACTAAAATTGGATATTTATAAAATTGTTATTATATCATTTTACACTTTATTAACGCGCATACACATATAAAATTTAGAAAACTATTGGGTAATAGTCGTTTCCAGCAGAAACATTTTTACCAAAAGTACAAATGGAATGGAACGTGGAGCCAAAGAGTATACCGCGGAACGTCGAGATGGAAAGGAGACGACGGATCTATCAAAATCTGAAGATTGAGGACGCCCTCGAGGCAGAGGGTGTCTCGCCGAAGGAAATTCTACCCGTCTCAGCCATATTACCTCTTTTCTCACGCGATGAAATACACGGTTTGTTTAGTACCATACAATTTTTGCCTCTGGACATCTTTGACGACGAGGAATATGATTGCAGGTACCTATCAACGTTTCTTCCGCTGATTTTCGCGTTTACCTACCGTCGACAAAAATTTTCATGAAATGTCAAAATATTCTATTTAAGAAATTTGAGCAGGTGTCATTTCTAATTGAGAAATCATTTCTAAATTATGAATAGATCACAGGTGTTAGTATTATTACAGAAAATTCGAATGCACGTGCACGCTTAATCCGTAAAAGTTTATGAAACGACAGGTGATTTAATTTAACGAGTGAAATTGTGAAGCATGCGCTTTCATTCTTCTTTATTATTCAATATAATTTCTTTAGATCAAGGAAACATGATGTAAAATTTATTAAAGTGGAATAAGAGCATTAAAAAATAGATTGATTCTGCAGTATTGCATATTTATATAAATATTTATTTAAGTCAGAAGAGTAATATACAGGGTATCAAAAAAAAAGTGTTAGAGCCGAAAAGGTGTGATTCTGGAAGTGTTTCTGAACAACAATTTTCTTTGGTAAAATGCAAAGTGATCCATGGTTTTTGAATTATTAACGAAAAACAGTGACCAATGAGAGCACGCGTAGGGCCCGCGCCCAGCCACGGATAGACGCCCTCTTATTGGTCAGTGTTTTTCGTTAATAATTCAAAAACCATGGATCACTTTGCATTTTACCAAAGTAAATTGTTGTTCAGAAACTCTTGCAGAATCACCCCTTTTCGGCACTGACACTTTTTCTGGGACATCCTGTATACTGAAAACGTGACTATTATTCATTATTAACAGTTTTAACATGATTTTTTACCAACGTAATGCAATCTGATACATTAGAACGACAGACGATTGGTTGAATCTGGGCACGATGGACGGGACGCGTTATCCGCTGCCAGCTACTGTGTTCGTGCCAAGATTTCGTGCCCAGGACGAGATGTTCGTCCTCGAGGATGAAGAGCTGAACAATTTGTTCATTTGGACTAACGCTGCCGTCACTGACTATGACCCGAGCAAGCGCTTATGGAGCGTGCTCACGCTCGATGGCTTGCAAAGGGAATTTAAGATACCGAGGATTTACATTAGGTTCTACGCCGAGGATCCCAAGATCTTTGCCAAAAGAATGGCGGCTGCTATTGAACAGAGACGAATCGCTCAGGCTGCTATTAAGTAATTGAACGAGGGTCGAATATACAGATACTAAATTCTCTGTCCTACAACATGCGAATATGTTTCGTTCTGTTTAATACATAAACAAACCTTTATGTAGGTACAATTTTTATCTGGATTGTATGCAAATGGACGGCATGAAGAGTTTGAACGAAGAGGAGAAGGAGACTATTATACGTTTAACTATGAGCAAGCCTAAACTTAGATACACACGAATGTTGATAGTAAGTAATAGTACATTATGCAACAAGGGAGTAAAGTAAATTTATTTACAACTGAACTGTAAAGTACTGAATTTTAAACATTTTCTAAAATTTTCTGAGTTTTTTTACTTTAAATGGTTTTTTTCCCGTTTACGATGGTCAAAGCATATGAGGAAGAGGAGAACTACTTTACTTATACGAAATTTCAGTCCCGCTTATGGTGTATAAGGGAAAAATAAGCGATTTTAGTCTCGCTTTTCAGGGAGTAAAGCGGTTTTTTCAATTCAGCCGTGAATAGCAGATTTTAGTAATTGTGTGCTATGCTTATGTGTATTGTTTCCGCAATTACGAAACAAAATATAACAATGCAAAGTTTAATAAATCACTATTTGTAACAATTTAACCTTGTTGTTTCGTCCCTTCTCACGTCATGGGAGAATTTATACATATAGATTGCTTAAAGCTTAAAACATCAGCATCAATTTATGATGAAGCACAAGACAAATTAAGCCTGCAAGAATAATGACAGAGACAACTAACTAAGAGTGATGCGACAGAATACATATTCACGCTAGTCGTGTGTATCGTCAATGTTGATTGATTTTTGAAAATCATTAATTTCGTGTACTTGTTTATATATGTATTTTTAACGAGTAAATCATGTACGAAGCTTAAAGAATGGATTATGTTTCTCCATAATTGTTACATGTCAACCCTTCTGTTTGTTGTAAGTTTAATAATATTGCCATCATATGCGTTGAATATTCATTATACAATTTTTTATATCGCTGAGATTGCTCTCCAAAAATTCTATACAGATTCGTAAAAAGATTATTTTAGAGGAGAATATTATTTTTTCATCCCTTTCTGCGATATGAATTTAATATTAATAACATATTTTATATGGGTACGTAGGACCAAGCTGGAAAGCGATACGAGAACATAAGTTCAAATTAATTTCCTGCGCGTTCATTAAAACCGCATATTCGTTTTTAGATACTGGGTGAGTCAACGAGAATTGCTATATAAAATAACATAGAAAAAGCATTGATTCTAACACGCCTTAATAAAACTGAATTGTCACTTGTTCAAGTACAAGACCGCATTTGTTCAATAGAAATTCCACTAAATATTGTATTTACATAAAATATCTTTTAAATAAATTAAAGAAAATTCGATTAAGCATTCTTATTGATTCACCAGATATATTTATAACGAATAATTTCATTAAAATCACTGCTTGAAGATGTAGAAAATTGTTTTCCTCCACAATCCTTTATATCCCCTTTAAACTCTTTCATCAGCTAGTAGACGAGATCAGCTTGGACTACCAGCGCACGATGTGTGACCTCATGTGGAGACAGATGATAAAAAGAAACCCGGAGATGTTTAAATTCATCACATGGACGCCGGACGTCGAACCAACGAGGGTGCCGGAAAAAGGCAAAATCGATACCGGCATGGAAAATTTTGAGGTAATACCCGTTAACGTGGATACCGCAACGAACGTTAGGTCGCATGTGGAAACAAAAAAGATTTAATAATGGATCGTACATTATCGTTAGGTATTTTAGATTTTTTAGAAAAAAATTTCATTTATATTTTTTGAAAAATTTTAATTATATTCGCATTATTTCAACTTAATTGAAATCTCTTGTTTTGTGGAACAGAATGTACGGAACAGAATGTTAAATTCGTATATTGATATAATTTTAATATTTAACAATTTACGCCAACCTGCTACTGAATATTCCTCACATTATTCATTACATGTTTATTAATTAGTACACAACACTTAAATTTATGTATTTATTGTTATATTATTATTAATATTATATTCTTGTACGATCAATGAAAGAAGAATCGTGACGCAGGAGTTAAAGACTTGAGAGCAGTATTCATCAGCGGGATGTAAACTTCGCTGACTGGAAGAATGAACGAAAGCTCCATTTATCTTTTCAATTTGAAAGCAGCGTGACATATTTTTAACAAACACCTGCACAATTAACATTCTTATTGGGCGTCAATGAACGAAATACTTAATGAGAAAATTTAAAGAATGGAATAATTTTAATAATGCTTCAGTAGTAATCATTTTCTTAAATAAGAATTTAATTTGTACTATTGACTTTTCCTCTGACAGGAAATCGGTCATTAACTCTGTTCAAAACTGATCGAAGTTTAATTAATTTCCAATTTCTACTTAATTCAGGACTTCGTACTGCTCTGCGTTTAATTAATCCAGTTCATATATTAATTTAGTTTATCAATATTCTGTAATTTCTATCGTAGCTTTTGAAAATCAATAGTGCGTACTCAATACCTACGCAATGTAGTGTTATTAATAGGATTAAACATTTGAAATTTTTTTCTTTCTAAGTATCTCGTTGCTTTTTCTTTGTTTCATTATTTCTTTATTAAAAAAGATTTCTAATAAATATCCCACACCTTTCATTGCTTAAAAGATAAATAAAACAATCTCAGAACATATTTGTACAGTATTCCACGATAAATATGAAAGCTTTGAGACCTACCTAAATATTTGTCGGCATCAGTGTTGAAATTATCAGCGAGGATTGTGAAAAAGAAGCTTTAAATGGAAGAGTATCGGAGAAAGCAACGAGAAAGTTGCTGGAATGTAATTACATATGTGTTTATTTTTTCTTATGTAACTTTAACGAATATTACGTAAGACTCTTCTGATTGAAGTGGAACCATTTTCCGAAACATGTTCAACATTTGCGAACATTAAACGTAGAAAACGAAGCGGTACACGAACTGGATTACCCTGTACGTGCAAATGGAAGTGCACGATGCGATGGCCTGCATCGTAGCCGAATGCATGCAAGTATCGTCAATGAACCTGTTCGCAACTTCGCATGGGAAACAAATACAATTATCAGAATTTGAAGATCTGCAGACACAGGCGACCACTGCGGTGATCAAATACCTGAAAGAGCCGTGGCTGGAAAAGATCACGCAATCGGTACGCATGTGTTTGAGAGACCTCGGCAAGGGTTGGTTCAATCTGCAGCAAAAGGATCACGGCGTCTACGAAGTGATGAAGCTGAAGCGTTTCATGAGTCTTACTACTCTTCGCATGCAGGTAATGCAGGAATGGGAAAAAAGAATTGGCAATTAGGATATTCATGAACTTAATTGAATTGAATTAATATAATAAGAATTGAACAAACTTTTTCGAAGCCAGATGAAAACTAAGAAATGTACCTTTCATATGAACATTCATTAGTAATTAATAACATAATTATAAGAAATGTATCAATTTTTATCCAGTACGCGTTGCGAGTACTCGTGCAGAACTCTATCAAATTATATCAAGAAATTCTAGAAGCTCCCGCGTTGTGCGTTCTCCACGTCTTAGACACGTTTACGTGGGGCGAGAATCTCGTGGACAGCCCATTCACCTCGGAAAATCCTATCTTCCTCATCGACCTTCAGATGAGCCTCGAAGCACCGTTCTATACCACGGATCCTGACAAGTTTGCGGTAACCCAGAAAACCATTTCATTTCACACGATCAAACCTCATCTCAATTACATTTTTGTTCACTTTTTCTTATGTAATTTGTAGTTAATTGTTAATTTATTTACATTTTCTTATAAATAGA